CTAAGGGGTGGATAGAAGGAGGGGCAGGGGCTGGTTCGGCCTCAAGGGTGTCAAGGAGAATGAACTCTTTGTGGTGTTCGTATTCGTGTTGTTCGGAGTGGAGTATGGTAGAGAGGAGGATGGGGGGATCTTCTTTGGTGGGTGGGGTGGCCGAATGAGTGGCAGGGGGTAGGGAAGTGAGGGTGATCTTCTTTTTATTCATGAGGAATGAATAAGTGTTGGCGAACCCATCATGAAAAACTTTGCGATCAAAGAGCCAAGGTCTGCCCAAGAGAATATGGCAAGCATCCATGGGTATAATGTCACACCATATCTCATCGGTGTAGCTTTTCCCGATGCTTAATGAGACCAAGCTTCGTGAATCCACACGCAATCCTTTTCCATGATTCAACCACTGGATTGTATATGGCTTAGGATGGGGTGAGGTTTTGAGCTTTATTTTTTCAACCAACGTTTTGGATGCCACGTTGGTGCAACTTCCGCTGTCCACAATCAAAGAACACACCTTCTTTTGAATGATACAACGGGTGTGAAAGATGTTTTCCCGTTGTAGTTGATCATCGGGACCAGCCATGCTACTCAAGGTCCTACGGATAACCAAGAGTTCTCCTTCGTCTGCCCCGATACATTCTTCTTCTTCAAGCTCTTCTTCAGCCTACGAGGGACTGATTTCTTCTTCTTCATACTCAACAATGGCCATTATTTTCTTATTAGGACATTCATTGGCATAATGACCTATCCCTTGACAACGGAAACACTTGGGAGCTCGGGTAGTGGTTTGGCTTGTTTTGAAGGGGGGCGGATTTGAGGAAGAGGGGATGAAATTAGGTTTTGAGGTAAGGCTTTGGGCAGTAGGTGATGGGGCTGTTTTTGGGGTGGAAAAGGGTGATTTGGAGAAAGGGGATGGGCGAACCAAAGGGGCTTTGTTCCTCTTAAGTTGAGACTCAACTTTAAGAGCCAATTTGGAGAGTTCTTCAAAGGTGTCATAGGGTTGCAACTCCACTATATTAGCTATTTGGGTGTTAAGTCCAAATAGATATCGGACTAACGTTTGAGAATCATTTTCTTGAAGATCACATCTCATCAAGAGCTCTTCAAACTCCCGAGTATAGTCCTCAACAGACCGGGTACCTTGCCTTAA